GTTGTTGAACAAACTACGGTTGTTGAACAAACTACGGTTGTTGAACAAACTACAGTTGTTAAACTACGGTTGTTAAACTACAGTTGTTGAACAAACTACGGTTGTTGAACAAACTACAGTTGTTAAACTACGGTTGTTAAACTACAGTTGTTGAACAAACTACGGTTGTTGAACAAACTACGGTTGTTGAACAAACTACGATTGTTGAACAAACTACAGTTGTTGAACAAACTACGGTTGTTGAACAAACTACGGTTGTTGAACAAACTACGGTTGTTAAACAAACTACGGTTGTTAAACAAACTACGGTTGTTAAACAACTATGGTTGTTAAACAAACTACATTTGTTAAACAAACTACGGTTGTTAAACAAACTACGGTTGTTAAATAAACTACGGTTGTTAAACAAAGTAAGGTTGTTAAACAAACTACGGTTGTTAAATAAACTATGGTTGTTAAACAAACTACGGTTGTTAAATAAACTACGGTTGTTAAACAAACTACGGTTGTTAAACAAACTACAGTTGTTGAACAAACTACAGTTGTTGAACAAACTACGGTTGTTAAAGCTCCTCTCTGTGAGACGTGCAGCAGGAGGGAGGAGGAAGTGATCATGTGACACAACAACATGTCGTGGAGGGAGGAGGACATTTTGATGATTTATTCTCTCTTTACATGTTTTAAAACAACATATTTCTTCATTTATTTTCAGAATATTCTGAATAAATGACCTATAAAAAATAAATAAATTGTTTACCTGCCCGGTCAGGCAGACATTGGGACACACCCACCTGCCCGACAGTGAGTTTTACCTGCCCCGGGCAGTGGGGCAGTAGGATTTGTTGAACCCTGGATGAAACACATAAAAACCAAGAACAAACTGACAGAAAACATAAAACAACATCCTGAGATAAAACAAATCCAGTGAATCAAAGTGGATTTTAAGAGATGATTAAAAAGCAGCTAATGAGGAGGAGGTGTTCCAACACAGCAGTAGCTCCAACCTCCTCTGAGTTTACACCTGGTTAGGGACATGAAGGAGGAGCTGATCAGCACATCTGACACATCAGTAAGGTATGTATGGATGTAAAGCTCAGGAAGGTAGGGAGGGGCAAGATTGTTCAGTGATTTAAAAAATAATAGTTTTAAATGGATTCTAAAATGTTTTGGTGACCAATGCAGGGATTTAAAAACTGGTGTAATGTGATCAAATCACCTTATATCAGCCTATATAAAGACCTGCTGATACCTCCAACCAGCTGCTTCATGGTGCAAACCTTAGTTTAAAATCTAACTACAACCAGTTTACAACAGGATCATAGTGTAGGAACGTTTTTCTGACTGAAACTTAGTGAAACACTTGTGTTTTGTTGTAGCACAGCTCTTACTGACACAGTTCTGCTGAAACTCTGCCTCACTGAAACGTCCCAAAGTAGAAAATATTTAGTTTTCCAGTTTCAATAAACACATTCACAGTTGTGTTTGTCTGGTGTCGACTCTTTAGTAAACATGTCTTCCATCGGAGCACCTCTAAGTGTGTCTTCTGTTTTAAAGCTGAGTATGATGAAGCTGTTGCTCTGTGTGTGTGTGTGTGTGTGTGTGTGTGTGTGTGTGTGTGTGTGTG